TCTAGAAAAGAGGCAAAATTCTCTGTCTAGAAATGATGTGACTTATTCTCAAAACAGTCAGAACTAACAAATTCATCTGAGTCCTCAAATGAAAATCTATACTTAAAAACTGTCTCGATTTCTGTGTGTTAGCAATGGACCATCCAAAAAGGAGCTTTAAAAAGTGCATGTGTGGCCAGCACTTGGGAGGCAGAGGCTGGTAGATCTCCTGGAGTTCAAGGCCAGCCTGGTCTACATAACAAGTTCTAGGCCAGCCAGGGCTATATAATGAGACCCTGTCACAAAAAAGAAAAGAAGTGTACACTTATTACTACAAAATAAAGAAACTAAGGAAGGTTTAAATAAGTGGAGAGGGAGACTCATGCCATCACTTTGAGACAGTGGCTCTGGAACCTGGAAAGTCAAGAAAAAGGACTCCTCCCTGGAGACTTCTGGAAGGATGCAGCTTTGCCAGACTTTATCTGAGGTAGACCCATGGTGGAATTCTGACCACCATAAGTTGGATATAAGACATCTGAGCTGTTTCAAGACACTAGACTAGCATAAGTTAATCTGTCACAGCAACACTAAGAACTGATATAGCTGTAAAATTTCAGTGAGGGTTGCAGGGCGTAGAGGGCTTGGGAGAACCACTGGCAGAGCGTTGCCCCCTCTGCCTTTTGCAAGGTTTGCTCAGGTCCCAACTCCTCCATCCATGAAGGCAGACTTGCTGAGCTGCTAGAACAAAGTGGGCAGTAGATTCTGCAAAGCCACAGGAACATGACTCTCAACACCTATGTGGATGCAGTGTGATGTCCACCTTGTTTCTACAACTCTATCACCACCAGCAGGAGAGGTTTGAGGGCCAGGAGTTCTATGGAAGCGAGTTAGAGCTTTCAGGCATCAGAAACAGGGGCTCGTAAATCAGAGGGCTGAGCAATACAAACTCTGGTTAGCCCCTGGCTCTAGCTAACTTCTCCCATACCTGTATTTCTTCACCTATGAAGTAGTGATAATAATAGACCCCATCTCACAGGGGACGGCTGTGTGGATTAAGTAAGAAAGCTGCATTCAAACCCTCAGCTTAAGACCTTAGTCACCTGAAAGCTATATCAATAAAATAAGCCAGAGCTAGAATAAATCCCAGGCCTACCTATTTCCTGCCTTCACAGAACCCAAAATGTCCCCATAACAAGGGCAAAGCCTGGTGCTGGTGGAGGGCCTTCGTGATAAAGACATAGTGTATTTCCACCTTCACCACAAGCCCTTGGCATGAGCATTACCATGCCATAAGTAACCACTCTCTGACTGTTCCTCTAGGGAGACGGTGCCAAATGCCACCCTCACAAGCCAGGGCTCACCATTCAATACGGAGCAGATATATGCCTGTTGAGAAGAAAAGTGATGGTTATAATGCCTGGCTCTCCAAGGAAAGGGCTGGGCAAAGATAATTTCCTCTCTCTCTCTCTCTCTCTCTCTCTCTCTCTCTCTCTCTCTC